CCGTACAAGAACTGCTAAAAGGACTTCAGGCTGAAAGAAAGGGACAGCAGACAGTAATTTGAATTTACATTAAAAAAAAATAAAGGGCTCTGTAAAGGTAATTAGGTAGGTAGTGACAAAACACAGTATAATTATACATTTTTTCTTATCTAATTCTAAAAGCAATCACATAAACAGTATCTGTAAAATAGTATTGTAATGCCTATAAGATATAGAATTGTAATATATTTGACAATAAAACATGAATGAAGCTCTACTGGAAAAAGGAAGTGACAGAAGGTGGTAAGTAGAACACACAGGAAGAAATGAAGAGAGTCAAAGATGATAAATAATAAGCTTTATTTAAAAAATCTCTATGTATTTGAGCTCTCTTTTTCTTTTCTCTTAGCTTCTTAAAAGAGACGTAAGTTGGCTGGGCAGAGTGGCTCCTGCCTGTAATCCCAGCACTTTGGGAGGCTGAAGTGGGTGGATCTCGAACTCCTGGAGGTCAGGAGTTTGAGACCAGCCTGGCCAACATGGCGAAACCCTGTCTCTACCAAAAATACAAAAATTTACTAGGTGTGGTAGCAGGCACTTGTAATCCTAGCTACTCAGGAGGCTGAGGCAGGAGAATCTCGAACCATGAAGGCAGAGGTTGCAGTGAGCTGATATCACGCCACTGTACTACAGCCCGGAGGACAAGAGTGAAACTCTGTCTCAAAAAAAGAAAGATATAAGTTTTTATAAAGGAATTATGACAATGTATCATTTGGTTTGTAATATATATAGACACGTGAATAAGAGAACAAAAAGAGTGGAAGGGAAGAGAGCTATATCTATGAGTAAACTTTCTTTGTCTTACTGGAGTTGAATTAGTATAAAAATGAAGTAGATTCTGGTAAATTAACATGTATATTGTAAGCCCTAGAGCAACCAATAAGAAAATATCACAAAAACATAGTTAAAACTATTAAAAGAATTAAAATAGTATGCTTGGAAGTATTCACTTGAGACAAAAGGAGATAATAAAAGAGAAAAAGAGGAACAAGATAGAATAACTATTTAAGTACCATTAGGTAGGCATCCCATGATGTGGTCTCTCAATACTCAATAATCTGATTGATTTAAGATTGAATGACATTTTATTAGGCTCATTTCTTCCCTAAAATTAATATTCTATTCATGGCTCTCCTTGTGTTTAAAATTTTTTTTAAAAATTAATATGAATCCATATAACATTTTGTTTCAGTTGACTCCTATATTAAATTTACTACTTCATCATTCTCCTCTTAAAGATATTACTTACAGAACACATTCACAGAAATGCACAAAGATACACATTGAGATACACACTTTATTTTGTATCGTTAGTTGTTTAACTACATGCTCACCTGATATTTATTCTCTGATGCTACCAATATTGATATAAGGATGCATTAATTTATATGTATGTTCTGGCCCTACACATATCTAGAGGAAAAAAGCAGCCATTGATTTTGAAATGTATTTCAGTGGGATGCATCAAAGCAACCATTTCATGGCTCACTTCATATCCTAATATCTCTTAAAGAAGAGTGTGTTTGTATGTAGAAGTAGGTGCATACTAATGATTAATGGTGCTCACAATTACACAGAGAGCATGGCATATCCATATAGAGCAATATGTTTAGAAATATTTATATGTTTATACAATTTTGTATTTTTATAATATATGACTTTAATGAATGGCGTGTTTGTATATGCGTGCACATACACACACAAGAACTTCTATCATGAAGCGTCATGGACGTGCTTTGGTGCTTGGAAACATGGGTGTGCTCTAGGCATAGCACTATGACAACTTGGCAGGACTGCTAAGTATACAGCTGGGAGAATCAGACTGCCTGCATGCAACTCCCAGCTCTGCCATTTATTAGACATGTTACTTGATATCTAGAAAATGTGATAGTGCTTCATGGTGTTCTTGAAAATTAAATGACTTCTTAATGCATATAAAGTCCTAGAAAGCACCAGGCAAATAGTAAATGCTCAATTTTAGGTATCATTCTTGATCTTCTTTTGGTTCTGCCCTTCCAGGAGATAAAAGATTTGTTTTGTTTTGTTTCATATCTGGATCATATGTTAAATTTAGATTGCTTCCAACCTAAGAAGAGATCTTCATAACATGTCTTATTGTAATAATGTTTGCAACTGTCACACTTTTATCTGTAATCCCTTTACAGTTTGCAAATTGTAATGTGCAGCTATTAGCATGTTATGAGTTTTACCTGGGAGATGGCTGATTTTCAGGCATATCATAAGTGCATTTATATTACTTTTCATGGATCTTTTGTGTGGTATCTAAACAGGGTAAGGGTATGATAATAACACAGTATTTTGGGACCCTTCCTTGTGGTCTGCCTGACTCTTGGTTCTTCCTGTTTCAATTCTTTCTAGATATGAGGGTAGGGGTGTTTTTCTCTTTTGTTCACTGTTATGTCTATCACCTAGAATTGTGCCTGGCAGTCAGTAAGCACAGAAGTATATATTATTGTATCTCATAATCTAAAACCATTTACTTACTTTCCAATAGATGCCCAAGTTCTTTGGTTTTATTCTGGTCTCAAACTACCTTACATAATAACCATTTTAAAAAATACATGTCTGATGCTGTATTAACCTGTTTTCACACTGCTGTCAAGAAATACTTGAGGCCGGGCACGTGGGCTCACGCCTGTAATCCCAGCACTTTGGGAGGCCAAGCTGGGTGGATCAAGAGATCATGAGATTGAGGCCATCCTGGCTAACACGGTGAAACCCCGTCTCTACTAAAAATAAAGAAATTAGCTGGGCATGGTGGTGGGCACCTGTAGTCCCAGCTACTTGGGAGGCTGAAGCAGGAGAATGGCATGAACCTGGGAGGCAGAGCTTGTAGTGAGCCGGGATCGCGCCACTGCACTCCAGCCTGGATGACAGAGCGAGACTCCATCTCAAAAAAAGGAAAAGAATTACATGAGACTGGTAATTTATAAAGGAAAGAAGTTTAATTGACTCACAGTTCTGCAAGGCTTGGGAGGCCTCAGGAAACTTACAATTGTGATGGAAAGGGAAGCTGGCATCTTTTTCACAAGGCGGCAGGAGAGAAAAGAGCACATGAAGGGAGGAACTGTCAAACACTTACAATACCATCAGATATTGTGAGAACTCATGAGAACAAGATGGGGGAAACCACCCCCATGATCCAATCATCTCCCACTAGGCCCCTCCTTCGACACATGGGGATTATGAAAATTACAATTTGAGATGAGACTTGGGTAGGGACACAGAGCCAAACCACATCAGATGCTTCTGTTAAATTGAATAGTTTGTCATAATCTGAGCATCCTCCTTCTTTCTTTCCTTTGTGTCTGTAGAGATACTACCTGCTCTACCTGTTGAAAATGGTGCCATTGCTTCTTTCATTACAAGCCCTACCCATCCACCAAGACCAGCACAGACTCTATCCCGTTTACCTTAATCGCCTTCCTCCTTCAGCTCCCCTCCTGTGAATGTTACTTGCTTTATATTTATTTCCTGTGTCATTTAACCACTTGTATGTTCTAGTACAGTTACTTGTGAATTCTATATCTGCCTTTGGAACAGGAACCTTGTCTGTTTCACCATTGTATTCTCCATAGTGCATGTAGGTAGCAAATATTTGACAAAATCAAATATTTAATGAAGACCCACTCAATGATACTGAACCCAATGACCGGTTTGCTTCCTAGGAATATGAGTGATATTCTCTTCCTGTGTTTTCTAAAAAGATTTGCCTAGTGAATGTTTAAACAAATTCACATGTCGAACATCATAGTATTTCATAATAGTCCCTGGACTTGGTATCAGATATACTGAGTCAAATCCAGGGAGGCTGTGTGACTTTAGGATGATAACATACCTCTTTAAGAGTCTTGGTTTTCTTGCCTGAAAGTAGGAATAATAGAATCACACTATAGCATTAATTGAGGTAACATATTGTTGGGGGAGGTCTGGAGGGGATCCTAACCAAAGTGCTTAGACTGAGGAAGGTATCAAATAAAAGTGAGTTTTCAGCCAGGCGTAGTGGCTCATGCCTGTAATCCCAGCACTTTGGGAGGCCAAGGTAGGTGGATTGTTTGAGGTCAGGAGTTCAAGACCAGCCTGGCCAACATGGCGAAACCCCATCTCTACAAAATATCCAAAAATCAGCTGGGCATGGTGGCATGTGCCTGTAATCCCAGCTACTCAGTAGGCTGAGGCAGGAGAATTGCTTGAACCAGGGAGGCAGAGGCTGCAGTGAGCCAAGATTGCACTGCACTCCAGCCTAGTCAACAGAGTAAGACTCTGTCTCAAAAAAATAAAAAAATAATAATTGAGTTTTCCTCTTTCCCTATTTGAATAAAATAAAATGAGTTTTTCAAGGGTGTCATTAGCTTTCTGTTATTGTTCTAGCTCTGCTTCTATCAGATATTCTTTGAATGGGCCAAACTCTTTCAATGGCTGGACACTGGGGATGTTATGATGCCAGACTATGCTGTTACTTTTTCCTTCCTTTAAAAGCTCTCTGGTAAATATCGATTTGTCTGCTCTGGTGGTTATATACTGCTGCTCTCCTCCTATTCTTCATGGAATAGAGGGATTCTAAGTTTTGCTATATGTACTTGTGTTTTATCTATAGCATACAGAATTGCAAAGAATACTATTTGTGGGGGCATTTTCACTTTTTCAGAATATCTTCATATCCATTATTTAATTTGGTATCCTTCACAAGTCTGTGAACCTGGTAGGGCAGGTACCAGTGTCATCATAATCCCCTTACAAATGAGGAAATAGAGCCTCAGAGTTTAAGTGATCTGCGCAGGGTCACATAGATAAAAAGGGGGCAACAACAAGGGTTCATCAAACACAAGTCACTAGGCTACAAATCTGGCACCCTCTCTACTCTGCTTAGCCTGAAAGCAAAGGGGTATTTGGCAACTGTAACATCCGTCATCCTAACGATCTTCTCCATTCTTCTTTGGCAGAGGCATCCATCCTGAGTTATGATGGTAGCATGTACATGAAGATCATCATGCCCATGGTCATGCATACTGAGGCAGAGGATGTGTCCTTCCGCTTCATGTCCCAGCGAGCTTATGGGCTGCTGGTGGCTACGACCTCCAGGGACTCTGCCGACACCCTGCGTCTGGAGCTGGATGGGGGGCGTGTCAAGCTCATGGTTAACTTAGGTATCGTATGAAGTACCCTCTGCCACTCTGTTTGGGCTTGTCTTCCCTTTCTTTTCTGATTTTCATTGGTTTGATTGAATTCTTTGTTTGTTTCTTGAAAGTTAGCTGCTCACCTCTTGTTTAATAGACCAAGGATAAACCCAACAGCAACAAACACCTCCTTGTTTCTGCATGAGGTTTTGATGTCAATTTCTGGTTTCTGACAGTGGTGATTTCTTGACTAGATTATTTGTTTTCTAAGTTTCCTTTCTTGGTTTTTTGGAATCGTTTAGCTTTGTGTAAAACACGCTACTTTGGTCCATCTTTTGATCAATCATATTCCCATAAGTCCAACTCCTCCGTCACCACTCAAAACAGTCAAAGCTCAGGACAGGGACAGGGCAGGAAGTGGAGGCAAAATGTGGATGGTGGGGTTGTAGGAAATTAAACTATGTGGGTAGGGTGAGAAGTACATTGTTTCTAGCTCCACAGTTACTATGCAAATGGAGAATTCTGGTGGCCTTGATGACACTGATATCTCCTTTGACTTTCTCCTAGAGGGAGGACAAATAGATTGTTGTTCCCTTGGAAAATAATGCCCTAAGTTGAGAGTCTGTGACACGTGGAAGGAAAATGTGACTCCTGATACCTATACCAATTTTTCTTCATGAGATTCTTAACCATCACTCAGCATCCCCTTGTGCAAAGATTGTTACCTCGTACTGTCACTCACTAATAACTCTCTTCTCCTCATATAACACATATCTATTTTACCTCAGAGTTGAAAAATTGTGACTTCAAAGTTGTAGCTTTATCGGAATAGGATTTTCTCTTTCGTTGTAATTACCTATAACAAAATCTTTGGAAATTTTCCTTTTTATGGCCTCATGTTCTCTTCTGCTATTGACCTTTACTGAATTCTAATTGATATTCTATAGAGATTGGGGTCCTCTTAGTTTTTGGCAAGAAAAAAAAAACCTCTCCATTTCTGCTGTTTCTAATCAGCAGAAAGTCAATACCCAGCATTGATAAGATTAGTGAGATAGCTGGGTCCAAACTTTCTAAGCTAGTGAATTTATTTGGGTATGTAGAATATGTTTGAATATAGCGATACCTTATAAAGATTTCAGTGAAATGGTTTGTCAGAGCCATGGAGAAAAAATGATGAACAAATGTACCAGATGTGAGATCATATGTAGGCCTAGATGTCCTGGTGGGAAGGTGGGGTTTTTGAATCCATTCCAATCTTATCTACTGTCAGGTTAACTGGACATACTTGGAAAATGCCTACACTATAAACCTAAAATCTCTGGGACACAAAGGACTGTTTTGAGCAGTGACTTCTTTAGTTACGTCTTTTTTTTCTTCTAGTTTGCAGTGTTTACAATACTGTGCCCTTTTTCTTGTCCAATTTCATTTGACTTCTGTTGTCAGTGTGTCTCTTGGTTTTTCTTTTGTTTGTGTATGTGTGTGTTTGGTCATTTTAGGTTATATTTTTTTCTTTTGCTGGATCTTTTTGTGTGCGTGTGTTCCTGAGTTTCCAATCCTCCCTGCCATCAACCATGGTAAATCAAAAGATGGTATTCAACCCTTCAAAGGCCCAAAGCCTGCGGCCCGCATAGCAAACAGCCTTGAGAACAGAGTGTACTGAGCAGCCTACAGAGACTGGCATACCCCTGACCCTACTACCTTCCCCATCCCTGCAACATCCTCCCCACCTTAAATCAATGTAAGAGTGTGTTACCTAAAACCAACAGCCAGCAGCTGATTATCTCCTTCTCAGAAAAAACAACAGAAGAAATAAAAAAAAACAGAACCAAATGCCACCCCCTAACTAGCTCACTGAAAAAGATGATGAAGACAATTTTTATCTTTGGATCTATTTCAAAGTCAGAGAGAGATAAACATATGAGAATGATTCAGCCCCACGGGATCCTGAGGGAGTGCACACTGTGTCATTCAACACACATTTTTTCCCCATTAGATGTTGTTTAGTTGAGATTAGAGTGTCAACTTTGACAGCTCTCACATCTTAGAAGGAAAAACTGGGGTCAGTGGGGGTAGAAATAAAAGGGTATGAGAAATAAGGAAATAAGTGTACAGATTCTCATCCTCTCTCTCTCTCACACACACACACATACACCTTGAGTTAGTCATAGATCCCATATGCATTCCTAGAAGCATTATTTTTGTATTTTAAACTCTAGCCAAAATCTGGGAGATGTGCTTTTCCAATAGACTTTGCTTTGTTGTTGTTGTTGTTGCAATTTCAATCTAGCTCCTGCTGAGTTGAACCGTCTCAGGCAAAAGAGAAGTAGCCCCTCTGTAGAGGGCATTGTGCTTGTCCAGAAGCCACAGTTAATTTTTCTACCCCAAAGGATATGGTTCATCATAATTACTGGTTTGAATTTATTTAACTTTCTTTCCAACCTGACATGGAAAGCTGAACTTAAACTCTTATGCTTGTGTAGATGCAGCTCTTCCTATCTATGCCCTGTTGAAAGGTTTTCCTTCTGTCCCCTCCCCAAAATCTACCCCTTTGTAAATATTTTCTTTTCTTTGTCATGAATTTATATTTCCTTTTTCTCAGTTATAGAAGAAAATGTCTCCAAGTAGAGTTTGCCTTCGCATGCATTCCACCAAAACTAAAGTCAGATGATCACTCAAGTAGAGTTTGCCTTCGCATGCATTCCACCAAAACTAATTTCAGATGATCTCTGTGCTCCTTCACTCTTTTCAAGTTGTGCCTTTTTTCTAGCCCATGCACTGCACTAATAATATTTTAGTTTATTTCAAATTGATCACACATATGCACTCATGATTTAAAAGCCTAGTATATATTTCCCTGATGTAACATATCTTCCAAATGCACTCATGATTTAAAAGCCTAGTATATATTTCCCTGATATAGCATATCTTCCAAATGTCAAGGAGACTATGGTTTTCCAATGGCTTTGTCTTCTGCAGGCAGCCATATGTGGTGCTAATGGGTAGGAGAAATATCCTATAATTCAGCACAACTTTTAAAAAGTTGAGAGGTTGACTACTGATCAACCATATTTTGATCCTTCAGAATTATAAGCTATAACATTTTATTATTACAGCGTATTTAAAGATTTTAAAGACCTTGTCTTATTTTAATCTCATGATCTCATGAGATTAATGATAATCTCTTGATAATTTTGTGAGATATATCAAGCAAGTGTTTTTATGCTTACTTTTACAGATGTGTAGCACAGAGAGAAATATATGACTTTTCAAAGCTTACATAAAAAGTTGGAGGCAGAGCTGGAACCAGAACCCATGTCTCTAAACTGCTAGATCAGCCTGGGTTATTTGTTCCCTCCACAGATCAGCACTATGGGTCAATGATGTGTCAGTCTTAATGGCTTCCAATTGTTTTCACGATGGTCACGTTTGAAACACACACACAAAGAATCTCCATTTTCCTCAGTGCCCAGTTTGAATTGAGCTGCACTAGAGAAAAGACAGTTGATATGGACAAAGCCTTTAAAAGATCCTTAGCCGAGTGCCAGGAGCCCTTCTTCAATGGCAGACTCTGAGGGAGTGGCATGCAGTTTGGTTAATTGCATTTGAATTCTCCAGATGTTCCCTCTCTGGAAATGTGGACTTGCTACTACTGTTTACCATATACATTATTGAAGACACACAGCTCTTAGAAACATTTACCTCTTCCATGCTCCACCCAAAGCTCAACAATGAGATAAACTTTCTTGGCCAGGCGCCTTAATCTGTTATTACAGGCACTTATGCCTGTAATCCCAGCACTTTGGGAGGCCGAGGCAGCGGATCATGAGGTCAGGAGGCCAGCCTGGCCAACATGGTGAAACCTCATCTCTACTAAAATACAAAAATTACCCAGGCGTGGTGATGCACGCCTGTGATCCCAGCTACTCGGGAGGCTGAGGCAGGAGAATCGCTTGAACACAGGAGGTGGAGGTTGCAGTGAGCCGAGATCTCACCATTGCACTCCAGCCTGGGCAATAGAGTGAGGTTCTGTCTCAAAAATAAATAAATAAATAAATAAATAAATAAAAAAGAAAGAAAAACTTTCTATCATTTACCATAATTAAAAAAAAAAATTAAAACAGGCAGCATACAAATACGAACACACACACATCAAAAGATATGCCAAGACTTAGGTGGACTTTTTTCAAGCAAAAAGTCTGGCTGCTACCAAAAGTAGATTTAAAGGAAATTGCCCTCCCAACTCAGTTATTTGACTCATGTTTTTTATTAAAACAAAAAAAAACCACATATATAAATGTGTGTGTGTGTGTGTGTCTATATACACACGTACACACACACATACACATATATATACACACACACACACATATACACATACACATTCAGTAACAAGAACACCCCCTCAGAGCCTATCAAGAAGGCTCTGGGATAGATTTTCCTTCTCAAACCACTTATTCTTCAGGTAAAATAACAAAGTAATTCTTCACATATTGATGTGAAGTAAACAAACTGTCTGCCATCTTGAAAGTGCCAAGCCCTCACATTGGTTTAAAGACCCCATCCACTTTACATGAAATCATTTGGGTGACCCAGAAAGATGAGCCCAAGCCAGCACCTCTCAGTAGGCCAGCTTCTCATCTAATAGTAAAATCCTCAGCTACACAGAAGCCGAAGACAAAACCCACTTGTTGTTTACAGGCCTTGGGATTGTTGTTTTAGGCTCACTCTTCCTCTCTCATAAGCATGCCCGTACATCAGTTTCCTCTCTCTCTTTAATATGTCAGGAAGGGACATTTCTCCATCTTTGGGTGATGGTAGGTGCAGTCAGTAGCTGAAGCCATCACCTCTTCCTCCCTCCCTGCCCTCCCTCCTTCCAGTCCTCACCAGGGGCATGGCCTCCTCTGTCTGGTGATCGTACCGGTTGCTCCAGGGCTGTTTGCTCCCACTTTTCTGTTGCGGTTGACGACACATGACAAACCTAACCGCACGAAACCAAACCCAGATTTTTCTCAAGAGATGTTCTTCTCGGGAACAAATAAGCATTCTGCCTCCTTCCTCAGGATAACTGGGTGCTATAAATCACTCCTCTCCAGATTTCACTTAGCTTCATTCTCCCCTTTATTCTTGCTCCTTTAAAATGATTCACTTTGGGGAATTCAAATGGTGGCATCATCCTTCACAAGTCCTCTAAAAACCCAATAGTTTTTAGAGGAAGAAGAGTACTTTGTGACTATATTTTCCCCTCTACCTTTCTTCCTTTAAAAAAAAAAAACCAAAAAAAAACAAAAAAAAAAACACCAAAAAAAAAACCATCATTTTGCTTCTACCTTTTAGGGTACAACAGTAAACAAATCCTTATTGGAATTTTCACTATGGTAAACCAACCTTAGGCTGAACTGGGCAGCTTGGTAACAACTAACCTGAGACCTTTCTCCGACCTTTTCTGCCCAGTCCCCTATTACTGCCCACTGATTCTACTCAAGGACTTCTATGTTGTGTGTCCATGACTCCCAAGCAGAGATTAATACAGTGATAGATATGCTGATCTCTGGCACAGAATTCCTTGTCTGATTACTAGCTCTGGCCAGTTGGTCACTGTTTTCTTCCCTCCCTTTCCCATTTAAAAAAGTGAAACCAAAACCAAAAAATTTTCTCTCCTCAAGATGCAGAATCACAGAGTGAAATACTCAAGATGTCAAAGGTGCCGAGACCTCCTCCACACGTGCCTGTCTTGCCTTCTCCCTGAATGCTGAGGGCACTTGATTCAGTCTGAGCATTCAGGCAGGAAGACAGAGATGGGCTGCTCGAGGGGGTTGATCTGGGAGCCTTTGAATCACTGGCAATCAGATAACCCAATTCATTGTGATAACATCCTACAACTCCTTTGACCCTACACCCGACCCCACCTCTCTAAAATCTGGGATGGGTGTTTGTGCGGTTAGCTGTTTGCAAGTGGCCATTTTATGACAGGAAATGACCAGGTGGTGTTAACCCTTTCCTTACCTCTAAGGAAGATGGCAAGTCTGCCTATGCAAATTTCTATAGCATTTGGGGCCCAACCTAAGGAGAGGGTGGAGGGAGTTTGGTTTTAGAAAAAGAGAAAGGGTTAAATACTTCACTGAGAAACTTCATGGGCGGAGTTTTAAAATGATACAGTGAGTCAGACTGGTGATATATCTTTGGAATACTAATACAAAAATTGTGTTAATGCTACTTTAAAAATGAATTTTAAGAAAATAAATTATAGGGGAAAATAGAATATAACCTGCATTTGGTGGAGGAATAATTGCCTAATTTTCCAAGTTTAACAAAATTAATATTTCGAAGTCCAGGTTTGAAATCCTTTATATAAATGAATAGCTTTTCTTGAAAAAAAAAAGAAAAAAAAGAAAACATGCTTGGTGTCTACTGTGGATATATATGTATACCAGTATATATCTCTATACATATGTGTATATATATGTGTGTGTGTGTATATATATATGTATCCAACTTTACTAATATACTGTACATATACACCCACCCTTAAACTTGTACATACTGTATATATATAAAATGGCCACATTTCTTACGTGTGTCTGTCCCCGGAAGGGTGGACTGATTGTTTTTGGATGTCTGCAGCTGTTACCTTGAAGGATGCAATTTCATCTTTCATTTATTTTTCCCCATCTAGACTGTATCAGGATAAACTGTAACTCCAGTAAGTTTTCCCTCAAGTTTCATTTTGTTCTTAAAAAAAAAAAAAAACTGACTTTATTTTGTTTACTGTTTTATGAGCTGTTTTTTATTTGAATTATTTTTTCTTTTAACAATGGAGTTGGGGGGATCTAGGGCTAAGAAAATGGGGGGCTGGGTGAGGGTGAAGGGCTGAGTATGATTTGGGGTGTGGTTTCTGAAGTGAGGGCGGGTCCTCTCTTCTTTCCTTGCATTTGCTCTGTGTGAAGAAAAGAAGGCAAGGGTACATGAATAATGAAATAATGAAAAATCAAGTTGAAATGATGATTTACTGTTTTGGGGAGGTAACTCTGAGAGTGAACAAAAAGCTTTAGGGCAACCAGTATGCACTTCTCCACTACCAAACACTTTAGAAAATAAAAGCACGGTTCTTGACCCACAGGTGGCTACCAACTCTGACATTTCTTTCCTGGTATTTATCACTGTTGGGAACTTCTAGCAGGGTGGGCAGATCACTGCTATTTGTGACTAGGCAACGCTTTAACCAAAGACTTGAGACACACTCTGTCTCTGCAAAAGGAAGAATTGCAGTATTATTTTCACCTTATGCCATTCAGATAGCCTAGTTCTTAAACAAGGGTCCTAACAAGGCACAGGATGAAAACTACTCATGTATTTCTTCCTCTTCCTTAGAAGTAAACATTAACTTGAGTCAACATAGAAGGGGAATATGAAGATAAATAGGAAGAATAGGCACAAGAGAAAGAATAGGCCTAGATGATGAAAGGGAAAAAAAGAAGAAATATGCTTTGAGTACTATAGCATATTATATTAAGCTTATTAATACTACTTTAACAAGCAATCCCAACATTATAATTGCTCAACAAAAGAAAGGTTTATTTCTTGTTCAGTCCAAGTCCAGTGCTAACTGGGCCGTTTTCCCAGACAACTCTCTTCAAAGAGGTAATTCAAAGATCTAGGATCCTTCCATGAGATGGGTCCACCACCTTGGAGTTCTTTACTTCTGGCTGTATCCGTAGGGAAGAGAGACAGAGAGAGACCTTGGCTGATTGTGCAGTAGGTTTTATTGCCTTGCCTGGAAGTAACAAACATCACTTCTATCTATATTTTGTTTGCTAGACATGACTCCATCCTACATGCAAAGGAAGCTGGGAAATGTAGTTGGCTAGTGCACCCAGGGGAAGAAACACTGGATTAGTTGAATATCTAGTACATGTCATTCTCCATAGTATCTCATCATTTTTTAAATTCTTTCCTCAATAGGGTCTTTCTGTAGGAACAAAAAGGAGAAACCCAACTTTTATATTTGGTTTTCTTGTTGATTCTATCCTAGTAAGTCTTTTATAGGTGCTAAACTTCTTTCTTGGTGGAAGATATAGGCGTGACAAACTAATACAGCCCAATTCTACTTTTTGGGGGGCAAGTGTTCCATCTAAGTTAACAGAAAAAGAAGAAATTTAAAATATCGACAGAAGCAACTGCTTACTAAACAGAGTGCTTTTCCTTGTCTTGGCATCTCTTACAGTTATTTTAAGCAATGCCCTATTTTCTGTGTTTAAATATTTCTAATTAGCCAGAAATTTGCCTGATATTTAGATCATTAAGAGCCTAATTGAAACATCCTTTCTCTCCAAAGCCTGGAGTTTTCAGTTCCTGTTTTTTTGGTTTGTTTGTTTTTTTAAAGCAATTTTATTGAGATATAATTTTCATACCACTACATTTACCCATCATAAACCTACAGTTCAAAGACTATCATTAAACTTATAAAGTTGTCCAAACATCACCACGATCACATTTTAGAACATTTCCATCATCCCCAAGATTTCCTTTCTGCTCATTTGTAGCTAATCCCTGCTCCTACCCATGGTCCTAGGTAACTATTGGTGTGCTCTGTTCCAATAAATGTGCCTTTTTTGGACATTTCATGTCAGTGGAATCAGATAAATTGTTATATAGTCATTTGTGTCTTCTTTAAAAATTTTTAATAGCATTTCTATGGAAATATTTTCTCTTTTCCTTTTACATTGGTTTTCAGAAGCAAATAAGGTGGAAACTCAGCATGAAGGTGGAAAGCCTTGTATCCAAAGCTACATCTAGCATCTTCTAGCTTCAGAGACTTATTTGGAGAACAGGGAACTGAGGCAGTTATTTAATCAGGATGTCAGGATTTGCTTTTGATGCTCTATCCACACTTTCTCAGGAAGTCAATCCCATATATTTCGCATGATCAGCCATGGAAAGTCATCATAAGACAACTTTCAGGATTATCTCTGTTGGGAAGACAGTGACAGATGACAGCAGGTTTTCTTAATCTGATAAAATATTTTCTATTTACATCCACCAAAAACAGCATTGAGAAGAAAATATGTCAGCAACGTTATATTCCCAGCTTTGGTCACAAAGTATAGAAAGAATATACCTTTCAATTGGAAAGATTTCAATTCAATACTGACATAAACAATCAAGATTAGATTTTGGAAATTATTTTCGAGATTTTCACAATAAACCTTTAATGTACTAAGAACATTAATTTTGTTGGAAATTTAATATCAGAGAAATAATACAGTGCTCACTGGTTGAACAGTGTTTGACTAGAAAAAACAAATGCACGTGGGTCTTTTAAACTAATCTAACACCTTTAGAGCTAAACAATGTAACCATGTATCTAGGGTTAGGTAGAGTCACAAAGCAAATATAGTACATTTTTTTCTGAAGCTAATTTTAATTGTTAATATGGAATAAAAGTTTAAATTGAAACCAAACTGATATATTATGCAGAAGAATACAAATAAGCATAAATCTTTAAGAAAAAAAACATAAGAATTCAAAGACATTTCATTTTTTTGTGTGTGTGTGAATCTTCTCCACTTCCATCCCTGGTGTTATTGGCATTTGAGTGGAAAAGTTTGAGAAGACTATGCAATTAAATTTGGAGAGAAAGCGTATATGTGATTCAAATTTCTAAGCCCTTCATCTGATAGACTCCATGCCAGATTTCATAGCTTGACCTGTTACAGGATCTCAAGTTGTCTCTGTGATAGGTGTGCAGGTCCTTACTCTTATCTGATTTTCAACCATGAGAGTATTTGCACCCTGGGTTTGAGAGGGAGGAGGCTTTCCCTCAGCCTTACCTCTTGCTGTTATTTCAGTAGAAGTCATAGGGTACCTTGCTTAATTTTCAAAACAGAACTTCTTTTTTTTTTCCCCCTTGAAGGGAAATACTGAATTAAATTTGAATCAAGGTGGATTATAAGTTTGTGAACTTTTTCAGTCATTCTTTTTTAGAATGCCTGTCCTCTGAAAAGTCACTTGGGTAAAATACTGAATGACATCGGCTATTTTTTTCCCCCTGTTCATCTGCCATAAAACGTTGTTTGTTCTGGGAAATGACTATTTCCAAGGCATTCTGTGATACTCTTTAATGGAGACAAGAGCGTGAAAAAGAAGGATGATCTTCCAGTATCAAGAGAAAACAATGGGCCATGAGAGAGAACAGTGATCTTGAGGGGGAAAAAAGCAGTTTTCTTCTAGCCTTCTTCCTTTTGACTTCGCTTCCTGGCCCTTTTGTCAGAGAGTATGGCCCAGTTCCATGCGAAGTATTTCCTACCGAGAAGCAAAAACAATTTTCTAATCAGCTGTTCTTTCTCCCTTTCTTAACTTCTCTTTTTTTAATACTTTGTGTTTCCTCATATCTATGATATATTCATTATTATTCATTACAAATCCTACTACCCCTGCTTTCCAAATCCTCCAAGAATACCACACCATAAATTCCTCTCTAGATACTATCAATAAACATATATTAGAGAATGTGCAAATCAAGGTCTTTGGATGAATCAAGTTCATTGCTGCATTTTATTCATCTAGCAGGAATGTATTTAAAGACACTTAATAAATATAGTTCTAGCTTAGAATTTATTTTTAAATTGCAAAAGAACAACAGAGTTGGCAGCCATCATGGTGAATTGAACTCCAGGGTGACCTGGAACACTACTAAAGAAAACAGAGCTGGCTGGGTATGGGAGCTCACGCCTGTAATCCCAGCACTTTGGGAGGCCGAGGCAGGTGGATTATGAGGTCAAGATATCGAGACCATCCTGGTCAACATGGTGAAACCCTATCTCTATTAAAAATACGAAAATTAGCCGGGTGTGGTGGTGCACACCTGTAGTCCCAGCTACTCGGGAGGCCGAGGCAGGAGAATCGCTTGAACCAGGGAGGCAGAGGTTGCAGTGTACCGAGATTGCACCACTGCACTGCAGTCTGGTGACCGAGCGAGACTCCATCTCAAAAAAAAAAACAAAAACAAAAACAGAAAGAACCAGGGCTGTTTTCTGGGGAATTTCTGGAGGAAATGACCCATTCCTATGGCTCTAGTTCCATAAGGCTGGCAGTAACCTAAGAGACATGCAGTTCTGAAAACAGGTATGAACTGCTCATTGGTGTCATGAGTGTGCAAGTGAAAGTATGGAAAATGACTTTTTGTCTTTGACCTTGTCTGATTGTGCCTCTGCCCTGTGCTTTCCTAGTCACTATTTATTCTATCCCTTTCAAGCCATGTGCAGTATGAATGAATATAGAGAACTAATAATAATTAAATATATGTATAGCTTGAATGAATGTAGTAAACACATATTAATGAATTTCAACTTTTTCTTTCCTTTTCTATCTCTCTTTCCTCTCAAACGCTAATTCTTCTGTGTCGTGACCATCTTCATTATCTTTCTAAAATGGAGTGTATATGTGGCATGGGAATTGTGAGTTTGTGTATATGCCTGATTATTTAGGTATATGTAACAATGTCTCTCTCACTAATTACTTTGAACCTGAAGACTCACTAATTTATCTGTGACAAGGTTTATTTTTTCTTCTTAGACACAGAGGAGAAAGGAAATAGACTGCTGTACAAAAATATATTGATCTTAAGACAGTCAAGTGCCACAGTAGGTTATCTGTGTCAGAGAATAGCTTTGATGATCTTGTCTATTCCCTATATATGCTGAT